CGCACCACGTCGATTACCTGAAAACAATCATCCATTCAAAAGATGTGGCTATATATAAAAAAGAATATGAACGATAAATTGGAATTTCAGACTTTCCTAAATTGAGAAAATTGGGCTGTTTCGCAATTCCAAACAAAACGACGAAGAGTATTTGAAAATCAGTTATGTTAACTTATCTTCAGGCGACAATATCATATGGCGCATTGAGAAATTGAAAAAGACCGGTACTGAGAAAATAGTAGTATCATAAATACGAAATCACAAAAATCCTATCGGTATATCTTCGCTGCTTCTCTCTGCTGTTGTGTTCGTAGGAGTTGATAGATTCTCTTTCTCCAAATGCCATGTCTCATGAAATATGCTGTTACATGCCCATATCCTTCCATCATTTCAACTGTAACATTTGGCCACAATTGCTCATAAGTCGGTGTTCCCTGATTTCTGAGTACGTACTGATCCTGATCAGCAAGAAATACGTGGCAAAGTGAGGTGTCAATTGGAGTTGGATAGTTTTCAAGACTTGTGAAGTCATCCATCAGAATACGCATCATATTCTTGGCCATCGTATCTCCATTCTTCGCTGTCATCTCATGCATAGTGTCCAGCCAGTTTTGATTTGGAATATTTTTTATCTTGTCTGTGTAGTTTGGATCTTCCAATTGCTTCTGTAGTAACTTGTAGTTAACAGCAGGTGCAATTGCACCTTCCGTATAAGATGGTGACGCAGTAGTCCAAGAGAGAATCGGAATGATGGAAATGGGTCGTTGTGAATTGGATCCAGCCAGCTGCGCCATGAAACCACCCATTGATACACCCGATATTGCGAATGGTCCATAGCCAAGAGTTTCAGCCCAATTGAAAAGATGATTGCATTCAGCTATCAGAGATGCACCCATCACAAACAGATCAGTCACATTTTCCAGAGATGAGCGAAATTGGTTTGGCGGTTTTCGATCACCATAGAATGGATTTTGTATTAAAATTGAGCCAACTCCAACTTTGAGCATATCGTCTACGAGAAGATATTGCCTTCTGAAAGAATATAATTGTTAAAGAGGAATTCCATAAAAAACCAACCTAAAATACGAATGATCCCCAGTTCCTGCAAGATGGATGCATACTGGACTTGGCTTATCAGGTAGCCAGGCTTTGAAATGAGCTCTCCCTACATTGCCAGGCATGTGATCGGGGAAAAGTGTTGCATGAGGACTCGTGAAGAATCCTTCGTAGGAAATAATTCCATTCTTGGTGGACTTCTGAGAATTGAATCCAAGGGTTTTTAGGGTATTCGGAGACCTACTTTTACTAGATCAATTTTTGGGTTGAGCTCTCTTACGTATTCCATCACCAGTCGTTTTGACATCACATCTCGGCGATACTTGGCCATCCTAGATGATATTGTTCATGTTTTTAATTTGAAAAATGAAGACTCACTGTTTTATAACATCAGGATGACCCCAACTTTTAGTGAATAATTGACTCAAGAGAAGTGCTGATCGAAATTTCAGTCGACGTGTTTGGCTACTGAAGGCAAGTGAGGAATGAAGGAAGCCATTATCGTTTTGGCAAGTCAGTCACCAAATCGTCTGAAGCTGTTACAACAAATTGTGAGTCGATGAGGAAATTATCTGAAAACATTTTGAATAAAATCAGGGACTCAAAAATGTGATCGTTAAAGTGTCGAATTTCGAGGAAAATTTGCCGAAAACACTGCCGGTCAAGGAGTTTGTAATTGAAACTGCTAAAGGAAAACTGGCGACTATTGTCGAGGAGATGAAGAAAAACGAGGAACCCTACTCCGTGATCATTGCCTGTGACACAGTGATCGAATTCAATGGAGAAATCATTGGGAAACCAGCAGACGCTAACGATGCTGTGGAGACTTTGAAGCGGTTGGGCAGTTTCAAATTTCATAAATTTTTCAATTCGAAAAATTTCCAGCCTCCGCAAAAACACTCACAATGTCTACACCGGGATGGCTTTACATTATCAAAAGACTGACCAATACGAGGAGTTCATTGAGAAAACTATCGTTCATTTTGGAGATATTCCGGATAGAGTTATTGAGGAGTATGTGAAAAGTGGAGAGCCCTTGTGAGTGTTTTTCTAATTATTTGAAAGTTCTTATTGTGAAAACCTTATCAGGACGTGATTACATCAAAGAGAATGCAAGAAAACCGAAATTGTTAGACAAACAAACCTAGTAAAACACAGATTCCAGGAAGAAAGCTGGCTCCTATGGAATCGGGGAATTTGGTGCCGTCTTCGTCAGTGGAATTGAAGGATGTATGCCGAATGTGGTCGGTCTGCCACTTCACCGTCTTCACCAGGCGCTGATCGCGAAGAATATTCTCTGATTTTTCATTCCATGTTTCACACGTTGTTAGCTGTCTTATTGTTTCAATATTTTGAATTTGGATCTTTCCAAACCAATGAACCAAATTAATAGATTCATTGGATTAATATATTTTTTATCGATCGGCAAGTCAGTCATGCTCATCGGGGAGAAAATTCATAATTTTAGAAAATGGTTGTGAGAGTCACTGAAGACAAAAAGACATAAAAAATAGAGACAGGGAGAGAGAGAGCTTCAGAAATTACATGGACAGGGGATATGTGTAAATATACTAATAAAATGAATACAGATATTTCTATATACAGTAGACTAGATGAAATGCGAAAATCACAATATTTGGAAGATGTGGTTTTTTGTGTGACTAGAAATGCGACAAAATAGAATGATGAACTTCAACCTACATGCAATTGCTTCGAGGATCAACGAACAACTTAGAAAATGTACTATCGGACACTAAAAAATGCCACAACTGTCAAGTGACGGGAATTTTTGGATGGGAGGAGAAATGAGAGAGAAAGAGACAACAGACCGGGAAAGTATTTAGGTCGGGAAATCACAACGCAAATAGTGAGAGAAACAGAAACAAAAAGAATATCAAAAGGCAGAAACACGTGAGAACTAAGATGAATCGGAGCCGCGGGTCTCTCGGATTGTTCCAGAATTAGGCTCGCGATAATTCATCATTCCAAGATTACTAGGGCGAGATGTTGATGACGTCATCTCCATTTCTTGCTCTTCCGGAAGACACTCGAATTGGGTGATTCGAGAGCTGAAAAGTTGATTTTATAAAAATGAATGATGAAAAATGTTCCCCGGATATCGTCAGTCATGATGCATTGTCTGCAAACACCGAACCTATTGAAATGGGCGGGAGTTCAAAAGTATTACAGTAATCCTTGTCATTGTAACAAGAAGACTAAGTTTCTGGCGAAAAGTACACCTACTTCTTTGTGTTTCCAGTCGAATCCTTATCCCCAGACTGTCTCTTGATTCCTCGTCGTTTCATCAAAGGTGCAGCTGCCACATCAAGCAAGTGGAATCCGTCCCGGTTTGCATGAAGGAAGGCGCGCAGGGTCTCATTGAAGGTTTCATCTGAAGATTATCATTAAAAAGTTGAGAGATCTAAAAAATGAGGTACCAGCAGAAGAAGGAAGGATGCTTGGGGTTTGAAGTGGTGTATCCATAGCAGCAGACGACTTTAACCACATGTGAGCAGTCAGCTCTTGCATCGAAAGTCGTTTCTTTGGGTCGACGGTTAGAAGACCAGTGATCAGATTCTTAGCGTCTGATGAGACATTTGTCCAGGCATCACCTTCAAATGAGAATTCAGCTCGACAGATTCTTTGCATAATTTCAGTGGCGGATTCCTGACGAGAACGAGCATGGAATGGAACTTGACCCGATAGCATTGTGAACTGAAAATTGGGATAATCCTTCATTTTCTCCGAAGATTATGCAAAATACCAGAACCACTCCAAGAGACCATAAATCACACTGCTCGTTGTATTCCGGCTGTGAATCTCCAACGTCCAATACTTCTGGAGCAGCATATTGCAATGTGAAGCATGGTGTCCTGGAATTAAGATTACGGTGGATTAGAGGTCCAAAACATTCCAAAAACTGATAGAGAGAGATGGAGATGTGAACAGAAAAGACCGACAGAGGTATAGTAATAGAAAATTAGAAGAAAAAATGAATCGAAAAACGTTCTTGAACAAGAATTCACGAAACATCACACACCACCGTCTTCCTCTCTACCAAAAGTACCCGACACGTAAACTCATCAAAAATAGAATTCATCCGGAATCAACGAACTCTATTTTTTTGCCATAAACGTGCTGCAAATTCAGGTTACTAAACGAAAAAGTGAAAAAGAGATAGACAAAACACAATGACTTTTGACTAGGAAATGTTAAGAATTTTTTTTGTTTTTCTGGTTACTCGCTGAGTGGAGTGGAAGAACAGGCGAAGTGTGAAGTAACCGTACATCTTGCGGAGAACTTGAACAGACTTCAGTTGTTGCTCCATTGGATTCGGCAGAAGACGTGCGAAACCAAAGTCGACGAGACGGAGACGCGCATTGGAATCAGTGCTTTCGAAGAGAATATTCTGGAAAAATCGTTTTTTTTTTCAAATTCGAAAATGACAGTTGTCTACTTCTGGTTTTAAATCTCGATGAACGATTCTCTTGTCATGAAGATATTTGACGGATGATACGAGTTGTCTCATAATATCTGCCGCTTCACACTGAAACTTTTTCACATAATTTTTGAAATTCCAAATTCAGTTCAAACCTCTGTGAACCGTTCTAACTTTCTGATTCTTTCCAATAATTCATTTCCAGTGAGTAGCTCCATAATCAAATAAAAGTGAAGTGGATCCGAATGAACATCATGTAACTGTACAATATTCGGATGTCCTTGTACCATTTCAAGAATTCTTGCCTCTCGTTGTGCTTGACTAGCAAATCTTTGAGACACTATTTTGACAGCGAACTGGGCACCGTCAGCTACACGTTCGCATCTTCTAGAATCAGTATATTTTTAGAACAGGATCAATTATTAAGAGAACAAACCTGACAACAGAAAACGCTCCTTTTCCTAAAAGTCCATTTTCCGATTTGTCTAATTTGTACTTGGCGAAAAATGAGGAACTGGCGAGAAGGGCATTCACGTCTTCAGCCATGAGCTCCTCTCCGATTACGTTGTCATTGGCAAAGATGACAGATGGGGAGACGTAGGAGTATCCCTGTGTTAGAATAAATTGGCAAATGTCTGAATAAATGTTATCTATAGACTATAGACTATAGTTAAAACCTATAATAGAAGGACCCCGTACTGTTAAGTTTGAGCTCAATTATCTCAATTATTTCAATATACCAAATAGGTGTTAACTGACAAAGAACTTTGGATATTATGATAAACAATTTATCAGGTGACAACTTTTTTATATCTTTCACAGAATCCGAGAAAAATTGGCACAAAGATCAAAGTTAGGAAGCCCTCTTATTAAATGTTTTACGGTAACTTTTTTTTTCAAATGTAAGATAACTTTGATCCAATAGTTTAAAACTAACTCTAAATAGTGTAGTTGCGTTCAATGGCGATTCAGCAGGTGAATACAATGGAGGCTGTGAAGTGAATTCTGCCGAGAAGAATTGCGTATCCAAATCATGTCCAATTCTTGGAACAATCACTGGTTTCAGAGTTCGTTTCTCAGCAGCTGCCCAATCAATATTTGCCATGAACTTGTGTGTCTTGATCTCATCAACTCCACCATATCCCAATCGTTTCTCCAATTTTTTCTCCAACAAAAGTCCAATGAAATCTCGTGCATCAGCGTCCATTGTTTTGGGGAATGGCACTTTCTTTGTGAGGATTCTTCTGAAAACTTTCAAGTTTGAATTGTAGTAAGTAAGCAAATCAAATTACTTTGCAATATCCTTGCTTGAATTTTGACCCCCATCAACGGTAAACGGAGAGCATCCAGTTAGAAGTTCAAATGAAATGACACCAAGTGACCACCAATCAACAACATCACTGTATCCACCTTCTGGACGGTTTATCACTTCTGGGGACCTTCAAAATCTATTGGATTTTTGGGTTAAATCTGAATTTCTAACTTACATATACTCAATAGTTCCACAATAGGAGTTAGCTCTGTCCAGTTCTCCTGGCGAGAATAGTTTACTCAATCCAAAGTCTGTCAATTTAACATGACCCTCTTCGTCAAGTAGAATATTCTCCAATTTCAAATCTCGATAAATCACTTTTCTCTGATGTAGACTATCAATAGCCACAACCAATTCAGCGATCACAAATTGTGCAGCTTCCAAATCAAAATGTCCTCTTGAACACAAATGAGTAAATAGTTCTCCTCCACGGACATACTCCATTACGATGTGCAATTTAGTGTCAGTTTGGAATGCGTAATAAAGATTCACAAGGAATGGAACACCACGAAGACGTTCGAGAACTTGACGCTCGGCCATTGTGTGCTCCAGGGTTTTTGGTTTTGTCATCACCTGGAAATGAAAATCTGTTGTACAATTTTTCTAGATTGGGAAATTTCGATAATTCGAAAACTTGGAAATTCGAAAGTTCAGAAATTCAAAAATGCAGTAACTCAGAAATTCAGAAATTTAGAAAAACCAATTATTTTACATTCAAAAAACTCACCCTAGTCTTTCTGAGTACTTTCATCGCATATATGGTATTATGATCCTTTCCTCCAACTTTTCTCACCAAGAACACTTTTCCATAAGCTCCTTTTCCAAGAACTCTGAGAAGAGCAAAGTTCTCCATGGAGACCTTTTCTCCCTCTGGCATCATTAAATCCTCCATTTTTGAATATTAGTAGAATTTTCTTCTCTTCTTCTTTATGTGTTCGGGTCTAATCACCTGAAAATTTCAGAATTAAAATTAGAAAATGTTTGGTGCTGATTATTGTAAGGAATCTAAGGAAGTAGGCGGAAAAATCAAAAACAAGAATATCTTCAAAACAAAAATAAAAACAAAAAGTAGGAGCTGGGTGTGGGAGGAGAAGACTATTATTAGAGTTTTGCTCTTTTTGAACAATTTTGAAAATGGAAAACGAATCTTCGAGAACAATTTTGCAGGTTGGAGAACAAAAATCGTTGACTGAGCTTACTGCGAGTTTGAGATTTTCGGTGTGAATTTGAAATTACTAAAATTCTGCAGCGCACAGAATTAAAGGTTAGAAAACATAAACTTTCACAAAGTTTTGAGTTTTCAGCTGTTGCAAAAAAGACCAGAGAATTAAGTTCAGGTTAATTTGGTTTGAGTACAGCTGGAGATAATTAAGTTTTACAGTGTGGATCATAATTGAAAGTTATGATCCACACTGTAAAACTTGATTATCTTCTCCTAACTTAAAATTTGCTAGAGCGTTGAACGGGGTCCAAATTCGGAGTGCAAATATTCAAATAATTCATCAGTAAATAATCACAACGGTGTGCAAGAAACATTACGTCGTTCGTCTTTGAAGAATCATAACAATATCTAGATTTGAGGAATCGCTTTGAAAATTTCAGGAGCTTTGTATCAAACGTAAAAGTATATTTCTACCAATTTTCGTTCTTCCAAGATACGTATGTCTGGAGATGTACCCGTTTTTATCAATTCGTTTTAATTAAACTCAGCCATGTTGATACTGGATTTGCAGTTGAGTAGCTGAAAAGTTCACCTTTCCCTGACAAATTAAGGAAAAAAACCGAAAAACTCAAAAAATGGATTTGGATTTTTGAAATTCATCTAGTCCAATACAACCTAAATCTCTCGAAAAATGTGTTCTGATTTCATAAAATCCTTCTCGCTGTTTCTCTTGAAAATGAGTCATACTGGTTTCCTCGCCTCAAAGAATAACAAACAAAGTCCGAATGATGACAAAAAACCTATTACGCAGGTCCCGAGATCTTAAGATTTCGAAATCTAAATTCAGAATCTTTTGCGATAAAAACAGAAAAAAAGGAAATGGAAAAGAAATCTATTACCGCTTTAGAAGCAGCAACATCAGCAGAAAAAAAGAAGGGAAGAAACACAGGGAAACGACAACAAAACAAACATGAAAGAGAAGAGGAAATAGGAAGAAATAGAAAGATGAAACTGCTCTTTTTAGAAAGAAGAAGAAGATTTGATCCTTTTTTCGACTCATCTGAAAAAGAACTGAAACTGAGAAAGAAGGACTATTTCTCTTTATTTCTTTCTTTTTCATCCAAAATGCACCGGAGAGAAAGGAGCAAGTGGTGTCATGAGCCATAAGCAAAAAGCAAGAAAAAAAAGAAAGTAGCAGAAGGAGAAAAACGAGAGAGGAAGTGAAAAGATGCCATGTGTTTTTCTCTATTTTCCAGTTGTTGCATGGAAAGAAGAAGAAGGAGCACAGAAGAAGAAAGAGCACACCGGAGAAGAAATGGAACGGATGGAGCAAAAAAGAGGAACACAAAATGGAATGAAGGTGGTGGAGTTAAAAGAAGGAAAAGAAGAAGAAGAAGAAGATGAAGACATCAACAGGAAGTAGCTGGGAACCTCTTGGGAGATGTCTTAATCCAAAAACCGAACTAATCATTAGAAGCGGGATGAGCGAAGATAACTCATTTTTGAAAAGTTTTTTAATTAGAACATTCTAAAAAAGAGAATGGGTAATTCAATGAATTCAGAAATTAATAGAATCAGAAATTCAAAATTTCAGAAAATTGTTTTAAAATCTGGAAAATAAAATATTCAAAAATTAGAAATTCCGAAATAAGATGGGATTTTTTGAAAGACTTTTGAAGAAAAATTCAAAAACTCAAAAATTGAATAATTCAGAAAAAATTTCAGATATTCGAGGTGACCAGAATCCGAAAGAGATCATTTTATATTATGGTATTAAATTGGAAAGATGGCAGGGTTCCGACTTAAAATACAACTGAATATTTGGCATTTTTAGTTAGCAGTGACTATAAAAAATATATTTCCTGCTTTGAGACCACATGCAGCAAAAAAAATACACCAGGTTGTGAAAAAAAAAGCCAAACATGCGAAATCAAATTATTCAGCTAGCCACCTGAAAACTACGTTTTTTTCCTGATTCCTACAGCTATACTTCTAGATGTGATAATTTGATTTTCCCTTTGCTGTTTTTTTTTGGAGAATATTGCCGATTTGTTAAATTAAAACAGGGATTTTTTCAGAAAACTACTATAAAAACTGTAATAGAAGGGTCCCTACACTGTCAAGTTTGAGCTCAATTATCTCATTTCCTAATAAAAATATGAAAAATGGGTAAACTTACAAAACACTTCTGATGTTATGATGAACAATTTATTAGTTGAGAAGTTTTTATCTTTGGCAGACCCCGAGAAAAATGTATTATAGGTTTTACGGTTTTTCAGATTTTTCAAAAAATACATGAAAGCAAAATATGGATTCTAAGAATATAATCTCTGTGTGTAGATTTTTTCTGCATGTTTTGATAAGATTATCAATTTTTGAAGATTTCTGTTCAGATTTTACAGAAAAAGGATTCGTGTTTATAGGAATTGGAGTTTGAAGACAGTCTAGTTAGAAAGAAAATCTAATTTTCTGATTTCTTCAAAACACATAAACTTTCAAAATATTCCAGAAAACTCAGATTCCCAAATTTCCCTACAAACCACACATTTCAATTAATTTTCCTCCTCATTCCATGCGCCACTCTTTCTCCCCCTTTTTTCCAATTTTTTCCACACAATCACTTACTGATCAGAAATGTAAATAATGTCTGAATGTGACAGGAAGAAGAAGCTCAAAGAAGAAATTTAGCAATAAAACGGGACTTCAACAAAAAATGAATAATTCAGAGGAAATTTATGTACATGATGATTTGTGTTCTAGTGACAAGAAAACACAACGGAAATGGGATACTGGAAATCGGAATATTTAAAGTTGATCCAACAAAAAAAGAGAATATGTTTACTAAAGGGACCTAATCAAATGTATTCCCAATTTGACCGTAAAAATAAATAAAGGAATTTCCTAAAATATAGGAATGAATTGATTCTAAAATTTTAACTTCAACATAAAAACAGGTAAATTTGTATATTGACAAACGAACGAGGTGTATTTTGGAATTTCAAAACCGATCGTTTTTTTTTTTGAAAAGTCTATCTCAGTTCTGACCACATTATCTTGCGAAAAAGCTAACACTGGCGTGCTGGAAAAAGGGTAAAAATGAACATTGGCGAGAAAGTTCCAGAATATAATGGCACATTTTTTAAATAAAAATGATCTCAAACAAAGAATCTGTAGTTCCAAGTTAACTAATTTACAAAATTCGCTTAAAAAGTTTTAAAAACCAAGAAAAGAAACAACATTAGTATTCTTTTTTTGGATGGAATCTCATTTTCTTTGAATATGGATTGTTTTTTTTTGAAACCGACAAAACCACAATTTGAAATTTCAAAATTTAAAATCTCTAAAGTAAAAAGAAAGATAAAGAACAACAAATTCAGTTCCAATCACACATTTCTGATAGAACGTATCTAGAATAGTAGGATTATTCAGAAACACCAACGATCACACCGAGAAAACAACAAAAAACAACAAAACTTCGGACAAACCTTGTTTGTTCCATTGATCTCTTCCGTCTCCGTTTTGTGCTCACACACTTGCAACAATTATCATCAAAAATAGTGGTCTGAAGGCACAAAGTTTGGTCACAAAACCACCAAAAAGTGGGAGTCAAATGACCTCTACAAGAGGCAAAAGGAGGTGGGACGTCTTCTCGAATTCTCGAATTTGCATAAAATGTTTGTAGATCAACTTTCGAATTACGACGTAAGAGCCAAAGACATTATTTAATAGGATCATCTCCCGTTTAATGTATCGAAAACGTTACGTTAGATGATCACGAAATGCACTAATTCAAATCTACAAACTTTCTCTGCTAATGCACATAATATCAAACTGCAAAGAGAGAACCCAATTTCCGAAAAAGGGAGAGATTGAGAGTGAGAAAAAAGAGAGATACTAATAACTTTTTTTTGATATAGACATGAAAATGTGTTTGTGTGTGTGTCGTCGTCGTGGCCGTCGTCGCCATTTTTCCCCGTTTCAAATAGAGAAACGAAGAGGAAAAAAGTTGAGAGAGATTCTATTAGAGACGCAGACATTTCGAGAGAAAAAATAGAGAGGTGAAAGAATTGGAGCAAAAGAGAGCAGGAGTAATTACGATTGTGCAGTGGGAAATTTTAAAAAAGAGTGGGAACCATAAGAAATTGAATTTTCATGAAGAAGGTAGAATTTAGGATGGTTCAAGGTTTTTCCTAGTTTTGACCAAAATATAAAAATGTTTAACTTATTATCAAAATTCTCTTGAAATTTTAAACTAACCAAACAACTGACAAAACATTTTTGATATTGTGATAAACATTTTATCAGTGGACAACTTTTTCATATCTTTGACTGGAACTGAGATAAATTGGCTCAAAGTTTGAAGTTGGAGGGCCCTTCAGGTTTTACGGCTGGCCAGAAAATTTCAAAATTTATTGCACTTGTTTGTAGAATCGACTTTAAACAAAGGATCTGTAATTCGAAATCAAAATTTGTAAAAATCCATTCAAATTTCAGATAAAACAAAATAAAAAGTTTTCCAAACGTTAATTTTTTGAAACCGACAAACCCACAATTGGAAGTATTGAAAGATCTCCTTAAACCTTGAGCCTTAAAACTAGTCAACAAAAAAAACGGAAAATAATTCTCCTAGAAATGTATGAACGAATTTCAATTTCTGAATCTTGAAAATTTGAAATTCTAACTCCAACCCATATTTTTCATATCATATCTAATATCCAAATCAACGATCA